AAAGCATTCAAAGAAAGAATTTCGTGCAAACCAGAGCAATCCTCAATAGGAAAGAAGCGGTAAGAACTGGAGTTTAAAAATAAATATTTAAAAAGTAATACTCCTAAGGTACTTGCATATTTGCTCGTGAATCTAGAATTACAATTTACTACAACTTGATTGGCAGAGAATTCATACCATACTATATATATAACCTTTATTGCAAGATGGTTAAACCATAGTAGTTTCATGATGATTATCTACTTGATCAATGATATCTTGAATATATATTTTTTTCTTAATATCTTTTTAGGGCTGCTCATCTTGCCCCATTACAGAAGGTAAATTTTTGGATAAAACCTGTGATTGTTAATCCAAAAATCGAAATACCTTTGGCTATTTGGGATTTGATTAACCCTACCTCTAAAGAGTTAGATAGCTTGAACTATCCAATTAGGTCTTCCGAGGGTACAAGAGGGTATATAATGTTGGATGCATCATGTGGAAACACACACACACACACACACATACACACACACACACACACACACATATATATATATATAATAAAGATTTTTAATAAAGATTTAACTATAAAAATCAAGTTGGGACTTGGCATGCGAAACTTATCTAATTAGAGACCCATCACCATGTAGGTGTTGAGTTGTGGTTAAAACACGTTGGCTGGATCTACATCCTTCGGTAGATCCTTCGGCTGTGTGAGGAACACGGCGCGTTGGGTTGTCGGAAAATCCTTTTGGACGCCTGCGCTTGTTGTGCAGAGAAAGATCTGGTCGCGTGTGGAACACAAGCTTTGGACGTCTGAAAAAGGGTTGGATTCAAATTCATACTCTCCTTCAATTTCGTTACGTTGCTGACTTAGAAATTTTAATTTCAAGTCATGTGGCTGGACTTGGAGATTTTAATTAGAAGTGTTGTAACTTTGGTGGGGATATATTTCTATACGATTCTCACAAACGGCGCCAAAGTGTAAGTGCAAAAATTCGTTCGACTTTGACAAGTTAACGAAATCTCTACAATTATTACACCCAAAATAATAATATAATGCTCCTAAGGCACTTGCATATTTGCTCGTGAATCTAAAATTGCAATTTACTGCAACTTGATTGGCAGAGAATTCGTACCATACTATATACAACCTTTATTATAAGATGGTTAAACCATAGTAGTTTCATGAAGATTATCTACTTGATCAATGATATCTTGAATATATTTTATTTTCTTAATATCTCTTTAGGGCTGCTCATCTTGCCCCATTACGGAAGGTATTGCCCTTATTAAGGAAAGAAAAATAGCGTAGTTTTATTTTTTATTTTTTTTATTTTTTTGAACCAAAACCAACTATGGAGTTTAAATAGAACACAAATATAAGCAAATAAAAAGTGATGATATTAGGTAACTTTTGCATCTATCAAAATCCATATAAACATTAATCACAAAGTATAAGCATCAGTTTTGCACTTTTCATCTAAGGAGTGATGACGTCATCAACGTTCATACTTGATACCCTTCATACAATAGATTAGTCAAGGTGATTTTCATAAATATGTATATGTGATTTTCACCTTTCACCTTTAGACTATTATACTCAAATAAGGGATTTTCACATAGGAAATTCTCCTTTCCCAGTCCTAGTTCAGCCATTAGGTACGGTCCTTGGGATGATGAAGGAACTTCAGGCTCGAAATATGCAGATGCACCTATCCATTGATTTTTTATTTTATTTTATTTTATTTTATTTATTTTGCTTTAGTTCTACTATTGATAAAACAACTCAAGGATAAGTTCTACAAAAAGTAAAACAGTTCATCAAAATAAATTGTACTTTAAGTTGTAAGGATTGTACTTATCTTTTTGACGAAAATGCTTCAAGTTTCCAGTAAGGTGTTGTGGTTGCCCCATGATGAACCTTCATTGGCTTCAACTTCATTGTGCAGTACCCTTGACTAGTTGGATTAGTCACCGTTCTTATAATCGGTGTGATACATTCATGGCTTGCGATAAAATCTGAAAGAGGACGATGGCATTGATCGAACTCATGCACCATGTGGTCGACATGATCTTGTCGAGATCTTGACCCGCTAACTGGTACTTGAAGCAAACATCGGTGTCTTATTAGAGAGCCGAGAGCTTCTAAATGGTATAGAAAATTAGGCCCATATATGAATACTAGCATAAGTCACTCTTGAACAATAATCACAATGTATAAGTTAATAAATATGAATATGAATTTGACACTTTTTGGCTAAAAGCATATTTGCCGCATTGGTCGTACAGTCTAGGATGGATTTTGTTTTTTGATACAAGAGTCCGAGGCTTTTTGTTCCTCGGCACCCTCAGCACCTTCCTTATGTGCCTTATAGGAAATTGTACTTTTTGATGCCTTCGGACTCTTAAGGTCTGAGGCTAATTTTTGGGCTTAAAAATTTCTTTCAATTTCGATGGTCAAAATGTTGTCTCTGGTGCTGCAATTTCTCCTATTCAAAATGAATCTATGGTTTCTCCTACTCACATACATGACCATCCCTCAAGCGAATCCATTTATGTGGCTGTGTCGGGTAATATGATTCCAATGCGGGTATTAGAGTCTGATTCGGTCGAGTCAGTGAAGATTCAGATTCAGTCCTATAAAGGATTTGTTGTAAAAAAAACAGAAGTTGGTTTGTGGAAAACGTCATGGAGCAATTCTGTCGTTTGGGATAATGGGGTCACTGAGGGGAATGTTTTGCATTTGGTTCTCCGTCTCTCTGATCGTCTGTGTATCTATGTGAGAACATCTTGTGGAAACGAATTCACATTTCATGTTGAATGGTGCCGAGACGTTGGCTACGTTAAACGTCAGACAGCTAAAAAGAAGAATGATTTGGTTAATCTTGATGATCAAGAGGTATTATGTAATGGTAAGCGATTGGAGGATCAAAGATTGATTAATAATATTTGTAAAAACAATGATGCTGTGCTTCACTTTTTTTATCCAGAAATCTACTAAAATTAGGGCTAAAAATGTTGACAAAAACTTCGAGTTGTCTATTGTCGTATTAGACTCATCACAGTTGAATGATCCAATAGTTAATGAAGTGAATAGAAGAGTTGAAAGTGAGTCTGAGACTGAAAACAATTTTAGTGTACCTTAAAAAGCCTCCTGATACAAATTTTTGGATAAAACCTGTGATTGTTAATCCAAAAATCGGAATACCTTTGGCTATTTGGGATTTGATTAACCCTACCTTTAAAGAGTTAGATAGGTTGAACTATCCAATCAGGTCCTCCGAGGGTACAGGAGGATATATAATGCTGGATGCATCATGTGGATATATATATATATATATATATATATAATATGAATTTAATTTTTAATAAAGATTTAACTATAAAAATCAAGTTGGGACTTGGCATGCGAAACTTATCTGATTAGAGAACCATCACCATGTGGGTGTTGAGTTGTGGTTGAAACGCATTGGCCGGATCTACATCCTTCAGTAGATCCTTCGGCTGTGTGAGGAACACGGCGCATTGGGTTGTCTAAAAATCCTTTTGGACGCCTGCACTTGTTGTGCAGAGAAAGATCTGGTCGTGTGTGGAACACAGGCTTTGGACGTCGAAAAAGGGTTGGATTCAAATTCATACTCTCCTTCGACTTCGTCACGTTGTTGACTTGGAAATTTTAATTTCAAGTCATGTGGCTAGACTTGGAGATTTTAATTAGAAGTGTTGTAACTTTGATGGGGATATATTTCTATACGATTCCCATAAACGGCGTCAAAGTGTAAGTGCAAAAATTCGTTCGACTTTGACAAGTCAACGAAATCTCTACAATTATTACACCCAAAATAATAATATAGAACAAACAATGAACTAGAGAAACTATACAGAGATGAGGGGGTATTTTGATGATATGTCCAAACTTAGGATTACCTAGATTGCCTACATATCCCGCATGGAGTGTGGGAATCAGGTCAGAACATAATTCTGACAATGAGAAATGGATCTCTATTTTTGGGGGCTTTGCCTTTTTTTTCTGTCTCTCCTTTATTGAGGGTCCTGAGCCCTTTTTATATAAGAAAAACCATAATCGATTCCTTTTAGGACTCGCATTGCTTGTCCCTTAAGAATCTGAATTACATCATACATTCTTTATAACAAGAATTTACATTATTTGATTTTCATAGATTATAATTCTACTTCTAATAGAACTGTTACTAACAATGGGTTTAATAACATATTCATAATTGGGTTTTGGGTTTTATCATCTCGGACCTTCTTAATGAGTTTAGCCCATTATGCTTAGTTAACCTAGTCCAAGCTTTTTGTAAGGCCCAATTTGAAGGTTGAATAGTCTCAGTATTTGTGGTGGTCCCCTTATGTGCTGATGTGTCTTGTATTAATTGGAAGGGGAGATTTTTGCCCCCACAGTAATGCTATTGCGAGAGCACTCTCGCAAAAAGTCTAAAGAACTCTCGTTTATAGGGCACACGATTCATTTTTTAAGAATTTGGGAGAAAGAATTAATTAACAAAGAATTATTTGCAATAAGGAAACAAATAGGCGGGAGCACTTTAGACTTTTTAGGAGAGCGCTCTCGCAATAGCTACAAATTCTAACTTCATTCAAACACTTTAATAAACTATAATTATAAAATATAATTTTTCAAAATAAAAACTATTTTAAACAGTAAAAAAAAGGGTATTCCAAAAATATCAATTGTATAGTCCTCTTGACAAATTGTGATAATAAAAAATAAACTACTCAATATTATTGAAGGACCACATTGTAATAATTTCATAATTCCTAATATTTGACTAAAATAAATTGTCAGGAGTAATATTTTCAATTTAGTATGGTCCAAGATCTGTAATTAAAATGAAAGCTCCGCAGAATAATGTCTAATGAGGTCGACCTCATGATTGGGGCCACCATTGCCTTTCTCAATCAATCATCATCATATACAACTGTGAAATGGATGGCCACGATCATTCCAATCCTTTCCCATATGGAAATCAAAATCAAACGGCTTTCGAGTTGCCTGCACAACTTCTGAGTAGAAACTAGAAAGTAGAACACACACTCCCCCACCCTGGTGGCTTGATTTTGAGAGAGCGAGAGAGTCGTTGCAACCGGTGGTGGAGAAGAGAGAGAAAGTCATCCATTAGGGTTTCAAAAGACTCAGTTAGACTCACAGATCGGACCAGCATTGTTATAGGTTAGTTATATTTTACCCTCTGATTTGATTGCTTATGTGGATGAGTAGATCTGAGCTTGTTCTTATTCTTATCAGAAAATTTGTGTTGTTTTAGTGTGAATTTGTTTTTTGAAGTGGAATTTTCAAAGTGCATTGTCGATTTTTTTTTTTTCAAATTTTAGTTGAAAATCTCTGTTATGATACCATTAAAAAGCCCGATTTTTTTTGGGTGATTTTGTACGTGCCTTTTTTTTTTTTCCCCCTACTGGTGGGTTGTACTGAATACTTGAGCAAATCAAAGTGTCGAGATTAGTTTCTGAAATAAATACTGTAGGATTTTTAGTTTAGATTGATTGGCTGATGCAAAATTCTTCATTTGTTGTTGAAAATCTCATCTCAATTCAACTCAATGGCATGTTATTCAATAGTAAAAATGCTTTACAGACAAAATATTAGTTAAAATTTTACAAACAATTTTTGTAGCTACATTGCTTTGGAATCAAAAATAAAATTGTTGGTAGCATGAGTCCACTGTCCTCTAGTACTAATATGTGATTTGTGAACCCTCAGTGTTAGAAAACTGGATCAAATTTTATTTACCGGGAAAAAGAACTGTCTCAAATTTGATATTGAATCTGGTGCTCTTGTTCAGGAAAACTACTGGGCATATGAACCGGAGGCATCCCTTTTTTCTTAAATGATCTGAATCTGATTAAAAACCTCTATTTTTAATGATTATCAGCATTTAAATGAAATTAAATGACCAATTTTTAGTTCCCCATGACATCAACACAAGTGAAAATTACTTCCAAAATAGCCATAGTTGACGAACAGCTTTATGTTCTTGTGAGTTATGGGTTTGCAAATGCATAAGCCACTGTCCATGCAATTTAGTTTCCTTGATTTGATCACTATTCTTTTATGAGTTTGTGTTTTCAGTTTGTTTCTTGCCTAACTCTTTTCTTTTTCCTTTCATATGACACCAATTTTACAGTGAGGTGCCAAGATGGTTGCACGGAAATTTACTGTGGATTTAAATAAGCCTCTTGTCTCCCAGGTAAATGGCCATTGCCACATTTTATCTTCCGTAAACTATGATATTAATAATGATTCAAGAAAATTTTCCAGTATCAATCTTCGATTGCAGTAGTATTAAATCTTATATTGAGTCCTTTGTATGACAATGCTGATCTTCTGTTATCTTCGCATACCATCAGGACTTCAAAAACTGTTTTGAGTTGTTTGTATTCACATGCTAATCTTTGGAAGATATGGTATCATTTTTCTAGGATCTAGGATTGAGTTGTTTCCTTTTGAGAATTTGCCAATTATGAATGGGAACAAAATAACTCCTCTGTTACTTTCCGTTAGTGTAAAGGGACTGCTTGGTGGTGTGTGTCTTCCTTCCTTCTTTATGAGTTGGTTATTCACATTTCTCTTCCATTTGCACCCTGGAAATTTCTGTTCTTGTTCTTTTACTTAAAAAAGCTTCTTAGTCTACCCTGCTTCTCTTTCCTTGTTATTTAGCTTTCTTAATTTCTCTTTTGTTGACTTAACTATTCACCGCTACTTTCTCCAAGCATGTTAGTGAACTTACTCAAATTTATGATTTCTTTTTATTTCAATATAACATTCTGGCAATCTTTTCACAGGTTGGCCATCTAGGAGAAGCTTATCAGGAGTGGGTTCACCAACCCATTGTTAGCAAGGAAGGCCCTCGATTTTTTGAAAGTGAATTTTGGGAGGTATTATACCTTTATGTTTGTCCAGAACAACTTTCAACTGCCATGAGATCACGATATATATATATATATATATATATATATATTTTCCCTCTTTCTCTTTGGGTTGGGCCTGAAACACTATAAAGCAGTATCGAGCATACACAAACTATGTAAATTCTTGGGTGTATATAATCGTATGAGTTAACTATTGGTTTGCAGAGTACATGCTACGGCAATATATATAGCTGAACTTTTGACTTATTTATGCCTGAAACAGTTTTTGACCCGCACAGTATGGTGGGTAATTCCACTAATATGGCTGCCAGTTGTATGTTGGTGTATCTCCTTGTCTATACGGATGGGCCATACATTTCCTCAGACAGCATTCATAGTGATCTTTGGCATTTTTGTATGGACAATTATGGAATACATTCTGCACCGCTTTCTTTTCCACATCAAAACAAAGTCCTATTGGTTAGTTCTGTCTCTCTGACACACAGAAACACACACATAATTTGCTATGCATCTGATTATTAGACATTAGTACTCAGTACACGTTCTTTATTTTCAAACTATGTACTAATGTTTTCAGGAACTTTTTATAGGGGGAACACCATACATTATCTTCTTCATGGTTGCCATCATAAGCACCCCATGGATGGACTGCGTCTTGTCTTCCCTCCTGCTGCAGCAGCTGTTCTGTGTGTGCCGGTATGATCTGTACCACCATTTTCACCTTATTTCTACCATGTGTTGACATATAAAAAGTTGCTTTTTTTTTTTTCTGATATTTTAATTTTATTTTTTCTTTTGGGGTGAGACATGAGAACTGAGAAGGACAACTTGCATCTCTATTTACACTGTAATATGTGGCCTTAATTCTTTTTTTATGGATTATATGATAGTCTCCAGCGATCCTTGATCCTTGTGGTCTTCTCACACATTTTGTTATCCTAGTAATCTGTCTACTTAACCACCTCAACCGTCTCTTATTGTGTGCTTATCTTTGATTTTTGACCAAAGAAGAAATGAAATTGAAGAAAGTATTGTGTCGGAAATTTTGTTTTATGGACATATTAAATTTCTTCTTTTTGGATAGAAAACAAGCAACTCTGTGGACATGATTATCAAGAGCTCGTTTCCTCTGTGTGAGATTTATAGCACATTCAGGTTGTAAATGGGCTAGAACGAACAATGTTACACCTTAGAAATTTTGTTTTGGGTGCGTTTGCATGGGTGCATTGCATGTGTGAAAAGGATTAGCAGTTTAATTTGTTGTCTGATCAACTTGTGAACAATTTGTTGGTAAAGGTAAGACATGAACAGTTCTTAGTGGATAAATAAAGAAATGATGAGATGAACACTTTTTGGTGGATAAATAATGAAGCTCTATATCAGCATGTCAGCCAAATCCTTGTAGTGTCAGTATTTATGATGCAGTTGTCAAACTCATCTAGGAACATCTGTGCATGGTACCTGTCCATATACATGTTCTGGACTGGACAAAGGTTAATCTTATTAAATTGATCTATGGCCAGCGGCATCATCTGAATGGCCTCTTTGGACTGGGGATTCTTTAAGCAAGTTGTAACCTACTGAATTTTATAGGTTGAAATGAAGTTGGATCAGGCCTTGATTTTATTTCATAATTGATACGGTGACTTAGATCCGTTCTCTAACACTGCGATTACCACTAACAATCCTACAACACATGGCTGAGTTGTAATTGCATGTGTCAAAGAGTTTAGTGAGTTTTAATTTGTTGTCTAATTAACTTGTGAACATTTTGCATGTAAAATTTGGTATTTTTAGTCAAAGTCTAGAATAGTATATATCAGTGTTATATGCATCTTTGAAGTGTCAGTATTTAAATTGCAGTTGGCATGAATATGCAACTCATTTAGAAGTATATGTGCACATGACACCTGTCAAGTGTCAACATACATTGAGTGGCCTACGAAGTAGGACAGAAATGTGTATGCCAGTTGTAACCTGTTAAAATTTCAGAATTGAATATGTTGGACCAGGCCTTTGTTTTCTTTGATGTGGTCCTTTTGTCACTATCAATTCTACGATGCCTGGTTGAGTTGTAATATGTGGATCAAACTTGGTTCGTTGATGAATTCTTACAATTTTTGCCACCATAAATTCTACAACTCCTGGCTGAGTTGTAGCAAGTGGATCATGGCTAGTTGATGGATGTTTAGGTATATATTTTGACTTTTGAAATACAGTGAGCAGGGTCTTCTCCCTTTTTCTTTTTTTTTTTTTTTTTTCTGAAAAAAACGTCAGGTTAGAGCAGGTCCAATGGTGAGTTTTTTGGCGATTTTGGGCCAATTTTGAAGAGTGGGCTGCTCCAATGGACTCTTCAAAAAGTGGGCCCCATTAATGCAATCTTGATCCAAGTAGCCAAAAACCAAGATTGGTTTGGCCAATTGCGGGCCTGACATGTGGGCCCGCATCAGGTTTCTTTTTCTTTTTTAATTCTGGCCCAAACAGTATTTTAGCCCAGAACACTGTTTGGGAAGGCCTGTTTGGCTGAAAAAAAAGGAAAAAATTAGTTTTTTGGCTGATTTTGGTCTCTTTTTTTTTTTCCTCAAAATAATTGAACCAAAGAGCTGTTAAGGCACTGTTTGGCTGACCCAAACAGTGCCTTAAAGGCTTTTTCGGGCAAAAAAAGTTAAAAAAAAATAGATAAAAGTGCTTTTTTTTTTATTAAAAAAATTGCTTTTTAAAATTTTCCTATTGACATATAGCCGTTTTAGGCACTGTTTGGCTGACCCAAACAGTTCCTTAACGGCTATATTGGCACAAAAACCTATTTTTTGATTTTTTTTTTTTGAAAAAATTCATTATAAATATATATTTATTTTTTTTAAAAAAAACCTTTCATTTTTCCTCTATAAATATATCAACCCCTAGTATTATTCACCTCATATCCAACCCATCTTCTCTAGTTTTCAACCTACAACTACAACCACTAAGTCATTTTATGTCATATCGTATTGTTTTTAATAATAAATGTTCTATTGTTTAAATTTTTTTTATAATATAGCCCTTTTAAAAATATAGCCGTTAGGAAAAAGTTAAAAAATAAAATTTATTAAAAAATTTAAAAATATTAAGAGAGCGAAAATGCACCATTGGAGTACATCTGATAGCTAAAATTTGGGGATTCTAAAACGCTGACGTGGTTATGGGAAATGCTGACGTGGCTATGGAAAAATGCTGATGTGGCAAATTCGGAGAGCCTGAATTCGAAGAGTCCATTGGAGATGCCCTTAGTGCAGCCTTAGCTATACACTTGTTTACAAGTGCATCCAACTTTTACACAAACAAAAATCATACTTTTGTATCCTCTCTCTTTTTTTTTTTTTTGTTTTCTGAAAAGGATGTTAGGTTTTGTACGGCCTTAGCTATCCACTCATTTACAAGTGCATCCAACTTTTACACAAACAAGAATCATAATTTTATACTGAATAATAACGATGGAACTAGATGAAATCGAATATACCAAGAATATTGTTGATTGGTTTACCAAAAAAGAAGAATATTGTTAATTGATTCTTCTATTGTTCTGACTCGTTGCAATATGTCACTGCCAGTTTTGGAACTTGATCAAGCTGTTATCTACTCCTTCTATTGCTCCTGCTTTGTTTGGTGGTTTTTTGCTGGGTTATGTGATGTATGATGTCACCCATTACTACTTGCACCATGGACAGCCAACCAGTGAAGTTCCTCGAAATCTTAAGGTAAGACCTGCACCTGTTGCACACTTAGTATTTAGATTCCAGCTCCATCACTTATTTGCTTTCTAGTTTATAACTGTTTAATCAGGTTCAAAACATAGCTCGTCATGTGTAATCTTATTTTTGCAATTAACTAATTTTTTTCCCAGCTATCCAAATGAATTTGAAACTTATGATTCTAGGGTATATCTGTCTAATCAATTTTGGATGTTTATTCGCTTGATCTGTGGCTGACCTTTGGCTTGCATGTATGTATGTGCGTGTGTACATTTTTTCTTGACGAATGCATACTCACTTTGGAGGTGGAGATACCATTGGACTACAAGCCTTGGTGACCTTTTATATATATGCTTTGTCTTAGTGGCATGAAATATGCCAAGATTGTCAGGAACATTACACCTGAAGTTTCTATTTATAGGAAATTCGTTTTTGGGCATATGTTGTCCTTGGTTTCTGATCAATTTAGTTATTCAAAAGCCTGTGCAGACAAATGAAGTTTTGCTTGTTTGTGTTGTGCAGAAGTATCACTTAAATCATCATTTCCGCATCCAGAGTAAGGGATTCGGTATCACTTCCTCACTATGGGACAAGGTGTTCGGAACACTTCCTGCACCAAAAGCAGCTGAGAAAAGTGGATAATTTAAACAGTGAATCTATTTAACATAATTTTCCTCCCCGACTTTCTAGCCCCTGTTGGCCTGTCAATTTTGCGGTTGCGCAATGTTTCCAAATTTTAGTGTCAGGAAGGTGTCAATTCTTGTGTTGTCCTTTTGACAATGAAGAAATCTATATGGTTGACACTGCTGGACTTGGATTCGTTTGTTCTTTATGAATTCTTATGGAATCCTTTCTACAATGAGGAATCTGTATAATTGACACTGCCACACTTGGATTAGTTAGTTCTTTGTGAAGGAAGAAATCTCATTGCAATTCCATTAATTTTTCATTTCTGGGTATCTTTTTTTTGGTGGTTATATTTTTGTAATCCTCACTGCTGCCGGTGCTTCTCCAAGTTAAAGTTAGCAATATGGAAAGAAAATTGTCCCGTGTAATTTTAATTATGAAAATTTAATAGACTGATTTTTATTTATTTATTTATTTTATATACGAATACATGGAGCATTGGAGCCATAAATATAAGCCAATTGAGCTCTATTTTATTTTTATGACCACTATAATCAGTACATTTTTGTTTAGATAGTTGACCTAAAAATTATGGATGTACTAAAGTTTGAAGCTATGGCAATGAATATAACAATGCATAAAACCAGACCATTCATTCTTTAGCCAGTTGTATTAAATACCTTTGCTTTTATTTGAATTGAAAATTACATCCATTGGTTCCAAACAAATTGTTGTCGATGTTTGTATCTCTTGTGCAATAATGCCAATGAACATGCAATTTCTTTCAAATTTAAGTAAAAATGTGAAAACCGGAATTGAGAATTAAATAATTGGAATTCCTTACGGAGTACTTTATTCCTTCCAAGTTCAAACAGACTTTTTTGAAGCCTGCCATTCTCTCAAACTCTGCAACTCTTTTTTAATTTAGTGTACTCCACTTGCAATAATACCCACACACACACCATGTTTGGCTTGGATCACAATTTTCTTTCAATAACACTTTTGTACGGGCAAAAGAATCTGGATCGTGCTTAAGCAGCATATAAGTTCACAATAAAAAGTACTTAAATAGAACGAGTAACATAATTATCATAAATATATATATATAAAAAAATGCACAAGTAACAAATTATCATAAATACTATTTCCCTTTAGGTGGATAAGGAGGGATGCTTTGTTGATTCCTGAAGAAATTGTCCGGGTCAATCATCGTCTTTGATTTCACTAATCTTTCAAAGTTGTTTTTGAAATATTTCACTCCAAAGACTTTAGCTTCCTCGTAACCATTATTACCATTGTGATTAATGGTACCAATGTCGAGGTCTCTGTAGTTGAGGAAAGCTTGTCTAGGGGACTTGGAAACGAAAGGTGTCATGAATTCATACATGTGCCTAATCCGGCTCATATGAATCTTGTCCGCCTGGATCCCTTCTTCTATCCAATTGTGTGAGTAGTGAATCTTAAATATGTTTCCCGCTCTATGCGGGAAAGGAGTTTCTTCCTCACCAATTTCATTCATCCTTCCACCATATGGGGTAAAAAAAAATTCTATATTATCTAGTTCTATCATCTTTCTCCATATAGCCTCCAACCCTTCTTTGGGAATAGGATTCTTAACATAATCTGATTTTCTTTTAAAGAAAATCTCGTTTTTGGGTGTGATTTTCGCCCACTGGAGCACCGATTGAAACCAAGTCATTTCGGTGCAGCCAGCTTTATTCACACCCAACTCCGGAAATTCGTTATTCATGATAGACACTAGTCTATCAGCATTGCCCAGAAACATGGCTATGAAGGATGCCTTTAGAGTCTTCTTCTGACCCTTTGTCTTGGCATCCACAGGCTTCAGAAGCAGCCTAATGACAAGATTGTCGTCCATCTTATTGGCTACGAATTGCCACCGGTGAACTAGGTCGGTGGCATTCTGCTCCAGAGTCCTTTCCACAAAAAAGGTGGTTACAATTTCGGGAACTTTAACTAGCCTAAGTTTGTAGGCCAATATGACCCCAAAACTTGCACCACCACCACCTCTTAATGACCAAAAAACGTCTTCGCCCATGGCTTTACGATCTAAAATTCGGCCACGAACATCCACTATACGTGCATCGACCACATGATCCACCGTCATCCCGTATTTACGGATCATATTACCGTAACCACCTCCGCTAATATGGCCGCCGATGCCGACAGTGGGGCAAAGGCCGGCCGGGAAACCATGGGTTTTGCTCTTTTCCGAAATTTGGTAGTAGAAATCACCCAAGATGGCACCGGCTTGCACCCAAGCGGTCTCCTGTTCAATGTTGACCTGGATGGACCGAAGATTGAACATGTCGAGGATGACGAAGGAGGTGTCAGAGACGTAGGAGGTGCCCTCATAGTCATGGCCGCCGCTTCGGATTCTGAGTTGGATTCCGATGGATTTGGCGCACAGAACGGTAGCGGCGACATGGGTTTCGTGGAGAGGGGTGACAATGAGGGAGGGTTTGGGGGTGGTGGAGGTGTTGTAGCGGGGGTTTTTGATGCGGGCTTGGAGAACAGTTAGGAATGAAGTGTGGGTGGGAGTGTAGAGAATGGTTGAGTTTTGGTGTTTGGAGAGGCATTGGATGAAATTGTTGTGGAGTGGTGTACAAGAAATGGGTTGGGCAGAGAAGATTAAAAGAAGAGGAAGAATAATTGAAGCCACAGAAATATATGTTTTGTTGTTCATCATCGGATTTGATCTGGTCGCCGTTTGGAGAGAGAGAGAGAGAGAGAGAGAGAGACGATAAAAGGAGCCGGGACGTAATCCTGGACGTGAAGAATAAAAGAAAAAAGCTTTTCGTTTTCCTTGATTTTTAGGTGGGTATTTATAGAGCTTTCAGCTATGCTCTCAGTCAGCAGTGTCTTTAATCATACCCACTCCTCTCAACTCATCACTCTCCTATTAACCACCTATAACTTTTACAGTTTTAAAAATATTTTTCTACTGCGATTAAAAAGTTTAGTTTTCACAAATTGATACACGAAAATAGCCCTTCGAAAGCCGCAGCCTCACTCAATCCCCTCTGTTTATTGCAAAGTTTCTTCTTTCACTCATTTTATCTTTCTAGTAGAATCTCCCATGTGCCGTATCTGATTTTTTTTCTTTAGCTAGGAAATGAACAATGGCATTTAAGGGGAAAAAGAAAAAAGAAAGCAGAACAGCAACCAAAAAAAAAATAAAAACGGTAACCTCAACATCCCATGCATCAATCTCTTCGGCAAGTTGGAAATGGCATGTCTACTTGTTTTTGGTACGATAATTGGCTTCCTGCTGGACCATTGAGCACTTGATCCTTCCCAAATCCTCACTGTAGCAGGTTTAGACCTTTCAACCACAATAAGCCACTTCATTTCTGGTGGAACTTGGAATTTCCCTGCATCAATCTCTTCGGCAATCCCAGAACTCCTTGCACTTGGTGCTCCAAATAATTCAGGGAATGACAAATTGATTTGGGCAGCCTCACCATCTGGAAGTTTCAGCCACAAGCATACTGCAGCTCTCTTATCACCTTCTTCTCCATCGGTTTCATGGTTCAACTTGGTTTGGAGATCTCCAGCAATCCTACGAATGAAATTCATTATGTGGCTAGCTGTTCAAGGTCGCCTCCCCACTTTGGATAGAAGATCAATGGCTAGATTTGACAATGTACATGCTCTGTGTAACGTCAACCCAGAATCTCATTCTCATCTGTTCTTCTCATGCAAGTATACTTCCCCAATTTGGACTTTCTTCAAGGCGAAATGCAAGATTTCTATTACAACTTTGACATGGCCAGAAATTGCTTCAGTCTTCAGCATCCAGTGGTCTTCTCCATCACCATGGAACCTACTTAGAAAGCTATGCCTCGCAACTCTGGTATATCACATTTGGGAGGAGAGAAATGCTCGTATCTTCCGTGGATCGAAGTTATCATAGAATTCAATTCGGGCAAGGATTTCCCACACCATCACCTCTATCATGAAATTAGGGATCTTCAAGGATTCCATTGCTGCGCATCACATTCTCAAGGACTGGGATCTTTCGCCGTCTTGTTGCCGACCACCGCTGCGTCCACCTGATTGAAAATTTGAAGCCATTGTGCTTCGATCGCTGCAAAAGTCAGTTCACCGGATTTGTATCAGATCCACCATTAACGGCTAATTAGCCGTTAATTGATGGTTTGTTGTTGATTTCTTTGGGCCTGGCCCGTGTATCTGTTGAGCCTTTAGGCTTTTGGTTTCCATCATGTATGGGTTATTTGGGCCAAAGACCTCACATGTACAACTCGTTTATTTATTATATATTAGCTTCATTTTCCGAAAAAAAAAAAAAAAATAAAGGTCCAAGCATTGAGAATCTTATGGCTCCATTCATGAAAGTAATTGAACTTCATTACGATCCACAAAAAAAAATCTAAATTAAGTTGAACAACACACAGGAATAATAAGTAACCTATAGACCAAATTAGTAATTGTCACTTTTACCATTTCATTACTGGTACATGTCACGTGCATCATTATTCCTTGCTCCATTTTTCTTTTTTCTATTCTTTTATATTTAATATTTAAATGTTAAAAATATTTTTTTTACTGCAATAAAAAAGTTTACCGTGATTGAAAAATATAAATGAGAGAATCCATAACTAATCGTACCACTACAAACCCATTCTGCTCTTTAATCGTACCTCTACAAACCCATTCTGCTCTTTAATCGTAGCTCATTCTTGTCATTAATGCTCATGCTGGTTTTTAATATATCATGCATATTGTTTGCATCAAAAAAGACCAAACACACACACACACATAACCTTAAGTAAGTTAATATTACCTAATTGTTTAACAGTTCGCAAAAAGAAAAAAACAAAAAAAAAACGTTAATATTACCTAGTGTTGGTTTTTGCCATGTAGGTATGGAGAAGGAAGACTATGGAAGAACTTCAATACACTCTTTAATGATGAATTACCAAAAGAAAAGGCAGTGTTGAACCACACAATCAACTGAGATTTCGGGTGCAAGGAACCCTAAAAATAAAATAAAATTACTACTAAAAAGATTTAATCAAGTTTATAGAGAAAAAAAAAAAAAAAAAATCCCAAAGGAAGAGAAACCACCACCATGGATCCATATAAATAAATAGTCTATATAATTTTTTATCAATTAAATAAAACACTACACCAGTTCAATTAGAACTTGAAAAGATGAAGAAAAATGTGACATTAAATAACTTGGATATTTATTGAAGAATTTTTTGTAAAATCTCTACTACTACATTTTGTTAGAGAAATAAACATTTCCGGTATTTCTCTTATTTGGTAATTTGCACTCACAGTCTTCATAGTATATAAATTCGAAAGAGTTTTATTTAATTTGCTTCTTCAAGGAATACATAATTGCCTTTTGATTTTGAATTGATTCATTTAAATTATTAAAATACAGAATTAACTTTTAAAATTCTTTTATTTGATCAAAATAACCCTTAAAAAAAAATAAAAAAGAAATCAAATACCATCACTTTGTCCGCCAATGCCATATGCAAACAGACATTTCTCGTATTTCTATTATTTAGTAATCACAAAAAAATCTTCCTTTATTTATCTATTAAATTAATTTGTAAATAGTAATAAGTATTCTCCGTATTTTCATTATTCGGTGATCACAAAAAATCCTTATTTTATTTTTTTGGCCTCCAACCTTCATTAAGAGACTTATGTCATTGAGCTTTATAAAAGAATACTCTCAAAAAGAATAACCATACAAGAAATAAAAAGTATTTATTTAACTTTCAACCATAGTAACTTATCACTCCCTTGAAAAAAAGATTTTAAACTAGAATATTATTAACCAGAAAATAACACATGAAAATAAAAGTATTTTTAATTGAATGAGAATGAAAAGTGAAAATTACACAAATTGATACACGAAAATAGCCCAACTTTCCAAACCCTCAACCTCACTCAGTCCCCTCTATTTATAGCAAAGCTCCAGCTTACCTTTTCGTACCTAATTTCTTCTCTTACTCATTTTCTCTTTCTAGTACAATCTCCCATGTGCTGTATCTTATTTATCCGATTTTTTTTTCTTTTGCTAGGAAATGGACAAATGGCATTCCAGGGCAAAAAGAAGAAGGAAAGCAGAGCATCAACAAAAAAAGGTCACCTAAGAACATCCCACGCATCAAGTCCAAGCATTGAGAATCTTGTGACTTTATTCATGAAAGTAATTGAACTTCATTAGAATCCACAAAAAAAAAATCTAAATTAAGTTGAACACGAGAGAGGAAGAATAGGTAGCCTAAGGACCAAATTAGAAAAGAGATTCATACCTCATCATATCAGTTATATATATATATATATATATATATATATATATATATATATATATATATATATATTATAATTTGCGTATTATATTAATTATCAAATAAATATAATTACTTGTTTTATTGGTTAATACAAATTTTTTATATTATAATATATATATGTATGTGTGGAGGGAAAAAATCCCCTCCAATGAAAATAATCCACGTCATCATAAATATAAACATATCCTTGATAAGTTTATAAAGCCCATCTCGCTCAAACCCAAATTGAGTTTGATACTAGTCCAAGATCACTGTTCACAAGCCCAATACTATTGTTATATGACCTTCAACCCTGTTGAAGCCCGAATTAAGAGATTATAAGCCCAACATATTAATATTTAACATCCGGTCCATTACTCAAACCCAGCCGGATCAAAGTATGTTCAGCCCAGTTACTCAAGAATGCACAAGTCCTACCAGTTGAAGGATTTACCGTAGAAAGAAAATTCTGAGATAGGAATGGAAAGAACTCTATTAGTAAAGAATGTTTATATAGAAAGAATTGGAGGACAAGCAACGCGAGTCCTACCATAATTTTACAATAATTTTACAATCTTTTGTATATAAATAGAGGTTTAGACCTCCAATGAAGGGATCAAGCAATTCTACGCTTCTCTATATACTGTTCTTGTTTATTTTCATTGTTTGTTGAGTTAGTTGTTTTATTTCTCTTAATCATTATTGGTTGGGTGAAATTTTGCACCTACTCTATTAGCCAATACAATATATATATATATTTTTTAGCTTTTATTTTATAATATCTCATTTTTTTCTCTCAACAATTTTACCCCTAATTTAGTAATTTGGACTTCCGTATCAATATATACTTGTACAACTAAATCACTATCTATTAAGTTATAAAATATATAATAATATTTTTATATTTTATTGACCTTATTACAAATAAGTAGATAGACTATTTAAAAGAAGAATAAAAGAAATTATTAGAGTATTTATTTTTATTTATTTATTTATTATATTTTGAGTTTGCGAAATTATTTAAAAATTATTATATTTAAAAATACATTTAAAAATTTCAAAATATAAAAAAATTTTAAAAATTTTTATTTTCACCTACTTACTATATTTTGAATATAAGAACTTTGAATGCTATATTTTGAATATATGAACTTTGAATGGTCAGTGGAGATGATGCTATGAGGGGAGTGAATTGCGGTGATTGTGTCCATTTACAATATCATAAAGGCAATGATGTGATCAGTGGGGCCTACTTGGTTAGAGAAAGCTAAGCTCTTCTAACTCTTCCGTAAAAAGACAACACAATAGTAGTGACATTTTGGTCCAGTTGGTTTTGTTTGACCAAATCAGTTCTCAAAATTCTAAA